CACAAGACACTCAACTCATCCCATAGTACAGTACACACCACCACAAACCTATTACTACAACCAGAACTCTGCCATACATAACCAACATAAGACACTCAACGCATCCCATAGTACAGTACACACGACCACAAACCTATTACTACAACCAGAACTCTACCATACACAACCAACACAATACACTCAACTCATCCCATAGTACAGTCCACAGCACCACAGTCTTCCTATGCCATGCCCAGCCAGCCCTCTCCCACCCATACCGAGACCCGTGTGAGTCGCCATCCAACAACACCGTGCAGGCTCCACAACCCCCCTCAGAACACCCTATCTTGGTTCCCGTCAGTCCTATGTCACGTAGGTAGTCGGCTAATAAGAGTTTTGGGTCTGGCTGTTGCACGGTGATGGGTTTGCCGTTGAGTGTGAAACTCACCGCGTCGCGTACAGGCGCCTTGCCCGCGTTGAAGTTGAGGAGGTGGTCGTCTCTGAGGGTGGATGGGTACATGGGTAGGTAGTATTGAGCATAGGGGGTTGAGAATAAACTAACGGGTATTTGTATTGATGTTGGGTTGGATAGTAGGGTTTGTTTAGTGGATGCAATTGAGGTATCAAGTTGTGTGAATAGGGGGTAAGCAAGAGGCGGTGTGAACAGCTTGCACTTACAGACCTGAGAAATCCAATAAGCCGACGACGCCCTGCAAGAGAGAGTAAGTCATACACATATAACGCTATATATATATATATATATATATATATGCATACTTGTCCTCGAGAGAGAGTGGGTGGTATGCCATATCCGGGTGTGTACATACTACAAGCATATGAAGAGAACCGTATGTGACTAGCTGCCTGAAAGCATCGATCTGTTATAGCGTATGTTACTATCATTTGAGATATCAACTCGACCATCTTGTCCGCATGTTTGTGTCTAGGCTGCTGCTGCCGTCTCGAGCTTTGAATGTTTTGTGTCTGTATGTACCTAATACTAAACCTACACAAATCATACGAAGCCTATAAAAATTCATCAGAGACTTATCAGTACTGTCTCCTGACAGCTACAAGAAAAGGTAAACCCACGCCTTATAATACGCTTTTATTTCCCTTCAGTGCCACCCAGTATCTCCTCACTATGCAGATGTCTTCCTAATTAACAACCCGGTTCATCTTCGTAATATATATATATATATATGCATATATATAAATATATACCTATATATATATATATATATATATATATATATATATATATTA